TAAAATTTATTAGTAAAATAATAAACTATTATTAAAATAATTTCATTGTTATTTTATTTTGTTGTTAAATTTATCTACATGAATATCATACGAAGAATGTTATAATCTATTTGAAGAAAATGTTAATTCAACAAAGGTTCCTGATGTCATTCAAAATTAAATATTTCATAGAATAAAATAACATTTTTAAAAGAAAAATTAGAAGCACAGATTTCAATGTCAATTTGAGAAGAGATGTAGAATGTAAATTATTTTACATCCATCGAAATCATTTGATGATACGAGTGAAAAGGTAAAAAGACAAAATTCTATTCGTCTGTTACAAACTGAAATTTTTCAGAAAAATTTACCTCTCTTTTTCTACCTTTGACACAACAACAAACATATCGTGTGTGGGTTGATAAGTGTCTCAATCTTAAACGTACTTTCTAATTTTCGACTGAACATGAACAAAGTCATGGATCTTGGGTCTAACACTCCACCTCTTCCCTTGAGAGGGTTTTGGTGATACTAGGTGTTTACTATTCTTCTTTATTCCTCCTGATCCTGAGCCAATTGTATGGTCTGGTCCATAGGGTGTCACATCAATTTTCTCAACCTGTCTCCCTCTACAAGTTTTCCATCTGTTTGCCTTTCAAAATTTTGCTTAGTTTTACTGTAGCTTCCCGCTTGCTAAACTACTTTCCATCAATCGAGATAGCCTCGTTCCAATAATCAAAAACTTGGCTCATGACAAATTCGTTATATATGCTATGTAGGCGAGAAGGTGATGTTTGTTTTAATATAGTTGTTGTTCCTTGCATATAAATGTTAAATCAACATGACTAAATGATCTGGCGTGCCTATTACCTCGAGTATATTCCACAGTCTACCGAATCGAAGAACTTCATGTCTACGAGGCATAGGTATCTCTTATGTTGTGTTTAAATATATGTTTAATATTTGTTCTTCTCTTTGTTCTTCTGATATCTTGGAAACAAAAATGCTTTTAGATCTTCATCCAAAACATCTGATCTGTAATTATTGAAGCCTGTTGGTGAGCCTTTTTTATGAATTATTATAACCAGTGATTCGCACCATTTAGTTTATTTAGACCATTGTTTGTGCTACATATTTTTAAGCATAGAATCTGCATGATTTTCGCTTTTTGTCCTACGACAGCTTTGAAGATCTTGGCTGGTATCCCATCTAGTCTGGGTGATTTGCAGATTTTATGTACAAGATGGCTGTTGCTATTTCAGATCTTAATATTTCGATTTCCATATGTTCGTTTGTATGGATGTTTGTTTTGTATAAATTATGGCAGTATATCTACATAATATATCATCTGCATCAGTTACCGGATTTTCATCTTTGTTCTTTATTATTTAGATGTTGTTGTTGTATTTCTTCGCAAATTGCGAAATGTAATCATTCTTGTCTCTTTTATATTCGTATATATGGAATTATTTTGCTGAGATGCTTTGTTCTGTGTCAGAAAAAATCTTCGAGCTGCAGATTTGACAAAATGATTTCTCACCTTTGATTTTTCCCAAAATTCATGAATTTGCCTATGTCCTAATCGAAAATTGGACGGTATGTTTGGAACTGAAATGCTTATCGTTTCAGCATCAAACTTTCCTAATGGTTAAATCTCCAAATTACAGGTTTAAAACAACTTTGTATAACCCAGAAGTAATGAAAGGTTCAGATTAAATTTTGATTATTCAAATATTCTTGGGGTATGTATACAGCCTGATTCAGAGTAAGCGCCTTATTTTTTTTTAGCCACATTATGGGTACTACTTTCAAAATATTTGGCAGTAATACGTTTTAGGTTTTAGGACATTCTCTACACGATGGTGATATCATATTTTCAATTGGACGAATTATTTCAAAATGGCGACTGTCACCTTTTTTTTTAAATGGAATGCCAACATTTTTTTTTTATTATTGAGATCCTAAAAACATTCTTTTTACGATAGTATTTTGTTTTTCTTAAAAATTCATTTCTTTCCCCATGAATTTTTAAGAAAAACAAAATACCATAGATATAATATCTCAAACGTTTCCTAACAAAAAATTAAATCAAATATATGATGTAATCTTCTAATTTCTTTCCTCTTTCTCAGTTTACCTCTATCCACTTTGAATGTAAGCCTCTTCCATGATTTTCCATGTCTCTCTAACCCCATTTTAGCCAATTTCTCCCCCTATTTTTCGTGGTTATCTGTTATCACTAAAGTTCGGATATTTCGGTATCGTCTCAGTAGGCTCAGTAGCGTCGACAGCGCAGAACCTATGGGGCACGATTGTAAATGCACTCCGACCACCCGATATACCGTTCCGATCGCTAACACATCTACAAGCACGCTAGGCCTGCATTTATCCGTGTTGCGTTCCGAGTATTCATTTAATATCCTTGTTATCTTCGTGAAAGCCATTTATTTTTATGAATTAGAATTGTACGAATGTTTCAGTTTTTATAATTTCAAACCGATTGATTATTTTATTTAATTATCATCGAATATTTTCTTGATTTTTGTTAATTAGAAGTGCCTTGTTGTTTTAGGTTTTGTAGTTTAAAACTACTTCTATTAAGAGTTAATTTTTTGATTTTTATTAACTGAATTACCATATTCAGCCCTATTGTTTTAGTTTTTATAATTTATTTCAATGGCACACTTAATAGCGACTTTTGGCGATACGTTCACATTAATTGACGATAATGTAGCATTTTGCAACTGCTGTTCGGAAAATATCGTGTTTCTTGCAAAGCGGCAGAAATTGCAGGTGCATATAGATACCAAAAAACATCAGCAAAACATGAAGGGACCATCGAGCAAAGAATTTTTTGAAGACATTTGCCAAGCTTTTGTATCGGCGAATATACCTCTTTCAAAGCTCAATAATCCTAGTTTACGAGATTTATTTAAAAAATATACCGGGCGAGAACTTCCTGATGAATCCACAATTAGAAAACTGTACCTTTTACCTGAATATGATAAAACCATTGCAACAATAAAAGGTAGATGTGTGGTCAACGTAGTGGTAGGTATTTTGGATCCTCAGAGACATTATCGGCCCTATTTAGTGTCGACGGAATTCAGAAATACCGTAAACGCAGAGGTCATATTTGAGATTATTAAAGAAGCTATTTTGAACGTGTCCAATTCTCCGGAAAAAATATTACTTTTTGTATCTGATGCCGGAAAGCTTTTACAGCAACAGTTTTCCAATGCATTACATTTAACATGTTTAGCCCACGGATTACATCGGATTTGCGAATTTATCAGGGAAACATATCCAGACGTTAACGTCTTAATTAACAATGTTAAAAAAGTTTTACTTAAAGCACCATTTCGAGTATCTTTATATAAAGAAATGTTCCCCAACTTGCTTTTTTTATTACCAAAATTTTGAGAACATACGATCTTTTATAAAAAAGTTAACAGACACTGCAATGAGTATTAAAGTATGTAAAAAAATTTTAGAGAGGGAAACCTTACACAATGTTCTCAAGTTTATTTACGAAAATTTTAAACAAATACCAGAAACGCACCAGTTTTTAGAAAGACAGAATATTGAAGTTGCTACGTCGATTTTTAAAATTGAGAGACTTTTGAACCAATTAAAAAATGTAGATGCGGATTTTACTACAAAATTGCAGCATAAAATTCATGCAATAATTTCACGCAATCCCAATTATAATATTTTAAAAGAAATTGCAACCAATTCATTTTCCAACCAAGAAATATCTTCTAAATATGGCCCGTTAGTTCCAACATTTAAATTTGCGCCAGTTACCAGTTGTGATGTCGAAAGAATATTTTCTAGATTTAAAGACATTTTAACACCCAAACGGTCGTCATTTTCTGAAGTAAATTTAGAAAAATTATGATAAAATATATAATTACTTGGTTATTTAGCGTTAATACAGACCCTTGCTAACGCGCGCCTATGGATTACTATGACAACGTTGCAAACCAGAGAACTCGGGACCTTGGCTATGCGTCACTCGTTAATAACGCAACATTCGTGAACTGGTCGACTGGACTTAGGTACCGAAGAATCCGAGCTCTAGTCATCACCCATCGAAACTTCAGGCCAGCAATTCTCGCCTGTACATCTGTGATCTTAATGCACCTTCAGATCTCCTCATTGCGCACACTCTGTCTCTAAAATTGATCTCCGGCATTGTACCCTCCATGGCTTTTTGGTTTGTACTTAGCTTATTGGCACTTTTTTTTGTGAGTGCGTTTAAAGACCATATCTTGTTACTGGTAGTATGCAGGATTAGAACACTTTCTGCTTCGGGTTAATAGGCAAGCTGGATTTTTGAAGATGAAGCCGAGTTTCCAGAACGCTGCCCATGTCAATCTTATCCTTCTTGTTATTTCGGTGGTCTGTTTTTTTGCCCAGCTTGATATTTTAACAAAGGCGTTCTACAATTTCTATGATATGATTTTCAATCGGAAACTGAGGAGCGTCCGGAGTTAAAGTCTGTGTCCTTTAGAGGTTCATCCTTGGACCCATTTCTGCTGATACTTTATGGAGCTACTCAAGCATATCCTTCAACTTCTCTGGGTAGTTGCGTCTTAGTATGATGTCATCCGCAAATGTCAGTTGATTTAGGTAGGTCCTTCTTTTCCCAAGATAGTTTCTTGAAGATATTCTCCAATGAATAGTTTAGGTGATATCGTGTCTCCCTGTTCGCCTCTCTCAATCTGGATCTTTTTCGTCAGAATGTCCTCGCCCAATTTAACACGTAGTGTTGCATTGGTGTAAATGTGTTCGATGAGGGCGAATCGATTCTCGCCTAGTATGCATATATTAAATTTCATCACTATAATTTAACATTAACACAATTTCACTTTCAAATTTACTTTTTAAAAAGTTTTATTCAAATTCAAAGTTACACAAAGAAACGAACATGTAAAATTAATAAATTATAAATTCATTCATTAAATTTTAATATGTGATTATAAGATAAGATAAAATAAGATAATTATAATAAAAAGTACTTATTTTTCAAGGAAAACAAATTAGTAGTAAACAAGCAGAAATCAACAAGGATTTAAATAGCAAACCTTAAAACCNTACTTATCATGTTCCGATTGTTTTGACATAGTTTGTTTATTAAATTAGAAAATTATGTCGAAATGTTTGAAATAATGAAATAAACTGTAATCAATACAACGATTTTATTCGAACAAATCCGTTATCATTATCAAGATAATTTTAATAATTCAAGTAAATACAGGAAATGACTGATCTATGTTTATTATCTAGAGATTAATAAATACTATAGTGTTTACCTTTATCTTGGAAAGATAAAAAAAAGATACGACAAAAACCAAAAGATTCCCTACGAATCAATACCTACTACGTGTATTAAGATATCAGAAATTATTCGTATTGGATTATTTGTAATTCTTCAACAACTGGGATTATATGGCCCACATCATCTTCTTAGTCAAAAGTCTCTTTTGGCGTGTAAATGGTTATAGAGCTACGTTTTCTACGAAAATTATATAGATAAACAGTTGTCAAAACAAGTAATTGTACATTTTTAGGATTAAACCTGAAAAAAGGGAATTAGTATGCATATACTATTGGTATTAACATATGGAATCGATACAATGTCATTAATTGTAAAATCAGTAACAACATTAAAAACAAGACAAAGAGCAGTAAAACGTACTATGCTGGGAATAAACCTAAGGGATAGACTAACAAACGAAGAATTAGAAGAAGAATAAAAGTAGAAGATGTGATAGAAAGAACTGCGATGTGGAGATCGACTACTGCCTTGCATATGACCCATAGCAAGGCAGTGGTCGAAACGGATTTTAACATGGAGACCGAGAATGTACAAGTGGAGCATAGGAAAATGGATTGATAACATTAAGGAAAACACTGGGAAGAATTGGATTCACTTCGAATCAGTTTCTGAAGAAGGTTGCAACATGGCATCCAAAACCCAAAACTTTCTAGTGTTAGTTCTAGTTTTAGTTAGTTTTAGAAAGCCTTCGTACTTATAATCTTACTGTAGTTGCTGATAGAGCATTTTTCTCAACAAAATGTAAAAAAATAGCATTGAAATCGTAACTTGCGCTATTAGCCGGCCATACACAGACTTTCTTTCGTTTCAATAATCGTGGCGTGTTGAGATATGGCGGTTGGTATGCGAGAAAGAACGGCATGGCAAAAAAAGCGTCATGTTCCATACACTTGGTAAATTATTCAAACGTTTCAGCATGTGATTGTGCGTGGTATATCAGTTTTAAGGAACAATCGTAGGTGTGTGGGCAAAAAATGTCATTTATCGTGTCGTTTGAATCGGCATGTAATTTAGAAACTTTCGTCGTAACTTTCGTTACCGACGTTGCATCTTCAAGTCGATTGTTAACTGTTAAGTGATGGATAAAAAGAGAAAAGTTTGTATTGTTGCATGTCCGGTTATGGCCATGAGAATCTCTAAAGACAAAAAGAAAAACGTATACAGGTGTTTCATAATACAGGTGTTTCATGAAGTTCTCCCTTCACTGTGAGCCTGTGAACGGCTCGCGTTGCATTTTTATCTTTGCACGTTGCAGCGTCAAAAATTCTTTGGATTAAAGCCTCACGTGTGTCTACTTTTTCTTGATATACTAAATCTTTCATCCAACCCCACATGTTATAATCCAGAGGATTGAGATCTGGAGATCTGGCTGGCCAAACGTGCGGGTTCATTTAGATGGTCGGTGACTCTACGGTAAAAATGAGAAGGAGCTGCGTCGTGTTGCAAATACATTCTTAATCGTCTTGCCAGAGGTACATCCCACAGTAAACGCGGAAGTTTTTCTTCCAAAAATTGCAAGTACCTTTGTCCGGTAAGACGATCTTCAAAAATAAACGGTCCTATAAGTTGATCGTACAACATTCCGCACCACAGATTAATGCTAAATCTGCTTTGAAAATTACCTTCTATGGTAAATTATGGATGTTATTTATGCCATCTCGAGTAAATTGTGACTCATCCGTAAATAAAATGTAGCGGTATAAGTTCCGATTATTATTTAACCACTGACAAAATGCCAAACGGATATCCATACCCTGGTATTGGGAATCCCTAAACGTATGGATATCCGTCGCGTACTAATGCAGGCATTGCGCTCGACAATGTCAAGGATGTTCTCTTCCTCTGCAACATTCTGTTGTGTTGCTCGTTCATACTGCATATGAACGCTCGGAAGTAAACCAGTTTCTCGGAGAGCTTGGAAGGTACTACTAAAAGTCTTCGGCGATGGAACACGCCGATTTGGAAAACGTCGTCGATATTCATTGAATCGGGAGAACTTCATGAAACACCCTGTATATGCGCAGGACTTCAGGATGTAATAGCTTGTCCAAAAATTTGAAAAAAAATTTTAAAGTCCTAATTGGGGACTGTTTTTCTCCCCAACTTCTACGGGAAAAAGTACGGTTTTGAGATGCCCATTTGAACCGTCAATGTTTTCTACACAAAAAAGGTACTGTAGGTCATGAGCTCTAAAGTTGACCGTTTTCTAGAAAACTCAACTTTCATGTTGAAAAACATAGTCAATTTTTTGAAATAAAAATTTTATTTTACGATTAAACAAAATTTAAACGTTATAACAAGTAACAAAAGTGTAAAAAATTGTATAATTTATTTTTAACAAGTAGGCTTTAAATTTTATAACAAAAGCTACCTCCTGTCAAAATAACAATTAGTTTGAACTTGCAAAAAGTAAACTTGTTCGACATGCATTACATTTACGGAATGGCGTACGGTAATTCGGCAGAAGCAAGGCGGTTGTATCAAGAAAGGGATAATGGGAAAATGGAAGTTTTAAAAGGAATACTGCTGATAATGGGCGGTCTATGAAAGTTGCAAATTCCCAAGTAGAAGAGGCTGTCGTTAACGAAATTGATGAAAATCCGACCACAAGTACCAGAAAAATTGCTCACAACTTAAACCTGTCTCACTCGACGGTTTGGAGAATTTTGAAAAAGCAACTTTTGTATCCCTACCATATCCAAAGAGTACAAGCCTTATTGCCAAGAGATTTTCCGCCAAGATTGGCTTTTTGTACATGGATGCAAGACAAAATAGCTCAAAATCCTAAGTTTGGAGCCGAAGTTCTGTTTATCGATGTAGCATCTTTCTCGAAGGATGGTATCTTCAACTTTCACAATAACCACATATGGGCAGAAGAAAAGCCACATGAAATTGCAGAAAGCCATCATCAGCAACAATTTGCAGTAAATGTTTGGGCTGCTATCGTCGGTGAACATTTGATAGGCCCACATTTTTTACCGAACAGATTAAACGGTGCAGATTATCGACAATTTCTAGAAGAAGTATTGCCGGAACTGCTTGAAGATGTACCGCTTCAAGTAAGACAAAACATGTACATTATGCATGATGGAGCTCCGGCCCACTTTAGTTTGGTCACTCGCCAATACTTGGACGACGAATACCCAGACCGTTGGATCGGTCGAGGAGGTCCGCGCCCTTGGCCACCGCGATCTCCCGAACTTAATTGTTTAGGTTTTTTTCTTTTGGTGCCATCTGAAAACCCTAGTCTACGCTACTCCAGTTGAAAATGTTAATCAATTAAGAGAGCGCATCGTTCTATCTTGCGACATAATTCCGAACACTGCGTCGAAGAATTGCTGCGTGCATTGAAGCTAACGGCGGACATTTCCAACATTTAATTTAACTGTGTATGATTTGTAATTGCTTCTTTTTAATTATGCAATTATGAAGTTAACGTTTGCTTTTGTTACTTGTTCTAACGTTTTAGTAAAATAAAATTTAGATTTCAAGAAATTGACCATGTTATTCAACATAAAAGTTGATTTTTCAGTACCTTTTTAATGTACAAAATATTGGCGGTTCAAATAGACGTCTCAAAACCGTACTTTTTTCAGTGGCGTAGAAGTTGGGGAGAAAAACTTTTTCTCGCACAAAACGTAACTTATTGTGAGTAGAAAATGCTTACAAAAACTGTTTTCTGTAGGATAAACGATTCCGGAGATATTCGCAAAAAACGAATTTTTTTATTAAATTTCAACACCCTGTATCTCGAAAATGGTGCATTTTAGAGGGTAAGTTGATAAAAACTTTTGTTTTTCAAATTTTTGGACAAGCTATCACATCCTGAAGTCCGCATATATTATGAAACACCTGTATAGCAAAAATGTTGACTGATTGACTAACAGAGAAAAATATTGTCGCATGTCACTTTTACGAGGTAATAATCCAGATGACTATGACCTTATCTCACTAAACAAGATTTCATTGCTTATGCCTGGTTTACATTGTTCCAGTAGCATTCCAGTCCAGCGCTGGAAACCTACGCTGGAATGCTGGAGGTCCGGATATTGGTAAAAAAAAAAAAGGACGTGATACTCGAATAATAAATCCCAATCTTTTTGAAGCTTCAGACATAACCGTATCAACATGACCGCAATAGAGCAATTTTAAATCAGGAACAACGCCCAGGTCCCTAATTTGGGAAGTAACATTTACCGAATGTGTTCCCAAACAGTACTCAAAATTTATATGGTATCTCTTTCTGCTGAATATGATACTATATCACTTATCGTAATTCAGAAACAAGTAATTTTTTAAGCAGTACTCTTCCAGACGTTCCAGATCCTACTGAACCGTTAAGCAGTCAGACATGGATCCAATTCCAGAAAAGATCTTACAATCATCTGCGTACAGCAAAAAATTGGAATGAAGAAAGCACTCATTAATATCATTGATATAAACCAAAAACAAAATCGGTCCGAGGTGATTGTCCTGTGGTACGCCCGACGTAACGGATTTAAAATTAGAAACAAAACTGTCCACCTTAACTGCTTGATGTCTGTTCGAAATGTAAGAAGCAATCCATGATAGCAAGCCATTCGACAAGTTGAACTTAGCGAGTTTTTCCAAGAGAATACAACGATGTATCCTATCGAATGCCTTGCTAAAGTCCGTGTAAATGGCGTCAACCTGAAGGCCGTCATTCATGGATTTCTGAATATAGTTTACAAACTCAACCAAATTCATTTCAACCGACCGTCCACGCAGAAAATCAGATTTTCCACAATCAGAAGAACTTCTACCACGGTGAAAAGTGACGCAGTTGTTACAAAGGCTTTCACTGTCGAAGATCGAATCATTCAAATTTGTAAGCCTCGCACATTCTGGTAGTAGATTGTAAAAGAGAACATTGAACAAACAGAAATAATTTGAAACTACGAAAAAAGTGGACAGATCTAAAGCTTGTTTAGATCATCATCCGATTTGATGACCATAACCCGCGCCCTGTCCTCACGACGAATGGGAATAATGCAGTTCCTCAGCCAACAGTATTTATAGCCTTTCTCTCGACATTTCACCTTTTGTTACTGTTATTTATGTACCAGTCGAAACTATAATGATTAGGGTAAATCAATTTTAACGAGCCATAAGCTCGACCAATCAACTGATTAGTGTGTTCCCTAAAGTTCAACGCCTTATCCATGACCAGTCCGAGGTTTTTGACAGACTTACTCAATGGAAGTATCTCCTATCGACAGGTGATAAAAACTTGAACTTATTGAAGCTTTCATCAAAGTGCCTTTCAGAAAAGGACAGACAAATCTGAGTATCCTCAGCATAATAGTGGACGCTACAGAAATTAACGAAGCTACTGAAATTTATCGTGTATATTTTAAATAGTGTAGGGCCGAGAATCGATCCCAGACCCTATCTCCAAAGCACTCGACTTCACATGATCAATACTGACTGATTGAATCCTGCCTTTAAGATAATTTTTGAAAAAGCTAATGAGACAGAATCAAGCCCGATATGGTCAAGAATTGATATTAACGAATCTTGGTTTAGAGTATCGAATGCTCTGGAGAAATCCAATATCCCCAGAAGAGTCAATCTATTGGAGTCAGTTGCAATAACAATATCATCCACTATATTGTTCAGAGCAGTTTCACATCTATGTCCTTCCCTGAAGCCAGACATTGTTTTGGCATGATACACAAGTAGATGTTTTAATTTTGAATCGCCATTGGCGTTACCACCCAGAAAAAGGGTGAAACGGTCTTTTGCAGCTTTGTAACCCGGTGCCCGCTTTTCGTCTCGCGATATAAATGTGCGCTTTGGCATTCTCTTCCAAAAAAGTCCTGTTTCATCCACGTTAAAAACCAATTCTGGTGGATAATTTCCTCTTTCAATTATGGCTTTTAACGTTGCAGGAAAAAATAACTGCCGCTTCAAGGCAGCAGTATCTGCACTCGTTGCTTCTCCGGTGATTCGAATGTTGTGGAGGTTGCATATTTTTTTTTAAATATCGAACCAACCTCGGCTAGTTGGAAAATTTTAACTCGTATCTTCTCTTTCATTTTGAATGTGATTGTGGCCTTTTGCGTTCGATTTCATCATCAATCCAAATACAAAGACGTTTTTCCATTTCTTCTAAAATGTTGCTTCTTGATCGAATTATCTTTGCTGCACTAGACGATGTGGTAGTATTCCAGTATCCAGTGTATTACGCCCGTATGCAGTTGTTGCGTATAGTAATTACAATGATTGGTTTTAGCATCCAGTCCTAAATGTATCATAATACTAATAGTTACTAGATACTCTAAAAGCCATGAATACTAAATACACTAGATATTAGTTCTTGATTCTAGTATTTAGGTGTTGGGTGCAGTATCAATAGTAATTCGTTCCAGTATCCAGAAGATAGACGCAGTGTCCACAATGCTGAGAACTAGAATATGGTGATTGACTCCAATTTTTAGTGGATGACTCCAGTATCTAATGGGCGATACCAACATTCTGCAGATGATTTTAATGTCTTAGGAATGATTTCATTTTCCACAGTGAGTAGATTGAGAATCTAGTGGTTGATTCCAATACCCCTTTGTTGGATGCAGTATCTGTAATGATTGATTCCATTATCCAGTGCATCATTTCAGTATCCACTTGTTGAAAACAGTAACTATAGTGAGGTTTCAGTTTCCAGTCCCAAAAGTATCATGATACTAATAGTTACTAGATACTCTGAATATTAATTAAACTACACTCAGTGGCATAAAAAAACGCATCTCCTAAAATCATGACAAGTTTCAAACTGTAACAACTTTTGAACGTATTCCTCGATTTGAATAAGATTTCTTTTATTTGGAAGGTCTATCCTTCGCCAATATTTCTGTAGACCTTCCTCACTTTGGTGCTGTTTAATTTCAGCACTTGTTGTTGGGTGCACCGACAAAAGAAAATAATTTTAATCATAAGGGGCTTGTAGTCTCGTCTGTTTTGATCACTTCTGTTTTTTATTCAAGTTTCTATTGTTGTTAACAACAAAGTTACAAGCTCTACAAGATAACGCAGCTTGTTCGGCAGCGCAATCAGAAATTAAAGCAAGTCATGGAAATTGACGAAAACATTTCAGTGACGTTTAGTATCGTTAACGTCGTTGACTGTTGCTAAACATCACTGGAACAATGCGCTCAGCCTTCAGAAACTCCGTCAATTGTCTGTTAACTATCTTTTCCAATACTTTTGATAAGGAACACAAAATGTTCTATGTATCATATGAGCATTTTGGACCCATATGTATTCTGGATTTATTTGTTGATGTCCATTTGCAATGTTTAGATAGTTTTATTCCTAATATACTTGTTACTTACCGCCTACTTTACCAAATTTCAAAATTATCAACCAACAATTTCTACGCTTCTGTTTTCTCATTGATTAGGACGAATAAAGTATAAGAGTAGGTATGGATTAAATATTCAATCGATTCCGCTTAATTGGGACACCGTTTAATCGGGACAGCCGCTTATTTGGGACAAATTTCAAAGAACGAAATCGAAACTTTAATTTATGCATACTTCGCTTTATAGGGACAACCGCTTTATTGGGACAAAATGCCTCGATCCCGATGTGTCCCAATTAAGCGGAATCGACTGTATTTAGTAAATATTTATACAAAATATATTAAATTGGTAACTAAAATATAATTCTTATTTGTAAACAAATTAAATATAAACATTCTAATAATTTATGTAGGTCATTATAAAGTTAAATGATGGCCTACATTTAACTTAGTGGTATAAAACTTAATTAGTGGTATTTTTGAATTTTTTATCTCTGTTTATGTTTGAATAACCTAAAGAATTTTTCTTCTTAAACGAAAAATTGTTTCAATTAAAACACATATATTTGTGATGTTTCGCCAGAGATCCCCAGCTTCTTCAGACTACAAGTAAACAACACCTATTTAACATTTCTTTTTATCTTAGTTATAGGAGAGATCACATGTAAAATTATTTTTATGAAGAAAAACTGTCAGTCAGTATTACAAAATAACTTACCGAAAACAGTTACATGACAATTTGCATGTCAGATAATACAATAAAACAAGTAATGTACCACAAAAGATGTACTACAATATTCGAACGATTCGAACTCAGAACTGCTGAGAACGCTGAGAACTGAAAACAGAACAAAACACACTTAGAACAAGACGTGACAAGACGCTGATCGCGTCACCGCAGCTTGGCACATGCGCATACGTTCATTTGTAGAGAAATGTTTCAAATGAAATGTTTCTGCTACATATTTTAATGATATTTCATAAATATTTCTACTGAAATGTATTTGATACATATCTTTAGATACGTTTCGTAAAAATCGTATCTGTCACGTATATGAAACGTAGTTCTAAGATGTTTCATTTAATTCATTGTATGTTAACATTGAAATGTTTCACAGATGTTTCTTGTTTACTGGGTGGATTGGAAAAATGTGAACCGGGCATTACGTAGATGTCCTTCTTCGACACAAGTTTTGCTGTGTTCTATGTCAAGGTTGTCAACTGTTCGCCATACTATCAAAACTGTCTGTAGGTGTATCATGTTCTCGGGTAAACATTACTAAATCGAAATACCAGAAACTTAGCACGTACTGATCATCACTAGAAGCTCCACTTCTCTTAAATTTTTCAAATTTTTGCAACTTTTCGAAACAAGCCTCTCATCGATTGGATTTGCTTAGAGACAAGCTCTCGATCAGCCTTGTCCACCTTGCGATAAAATTGCACTAATTCATCGTAACTCATTTTTTAAGTTTCTATTAACATACTCCTTCGATTTTACCTTCCACAAAGCTGGATGACACCTATAAATCTTTATAAATCCAGTTAAGAATATATTGGTGATATGACGAATATCGGCCATATCAAAAATTTTAAAGCACCTACTACTTAAGGTTGGGTTAGATTGGAAGCACAAAAAGAAGAACGCCAACACTTAGTAATCTTGCTTACCTGATTCACAAAGAAAATAAAGGGCTGAATACGGTCTTATTTTCCAATGCTCTTGTAAAAAAAGAGACTAAATGTGAATTAAATATGAATCAAATAACTGAAGAATACAAAGAATATGATGAAAACATAACTACAATTAATAAAAATAACAAATTTAATTTAATCCACATAGAACCTGTATTTTATGTTGTCCGCGTAATCCATGGTTTATTGTGACATAGGAGCACAACGAACGGATAAACTCATCAAACACCGCGATCAAGATTAAATTCGAATTTGGTTGANGATAAAATAAGATAATTATAATAAAAAGTACTTATTTTTCAAGGAAAACAAATTAATGTAAACAAGCAGAAATCAACAAGGATTTAAATAGCAAACCTTAAAACCAATGCTACGAAAGCAGCTGGTTTCCCAATAATTTCCGTCATTGCGAACACTTAGTTTCTGATCGACCATTTTTAAAAGACTCTCTATATCTGTGTCATGGGCATTCTCCATAAATACTTGACAAAGGTCATTGATGTACCATGAACTTGAAGTTATAACCCGACAACTATTACAATCTACAAAGAAAAGAATTTGTTTTTAATAAAATTGTTGTTTTTCAAATTAATTACCTGCTATAGTACAATAACAAATTAGGATATCCTTTATTTTTCGTTTAAACAAATATGCGTCGCTATGTATACCGTCTGTGAAAGATTTTCTTAAAAAAAAACATAATTTTATTACTTAAAAAATATCATATTGTAAGAAATCAATTGAAAAACTTACCTACAGCACCGAAATATAAAAATTTTCGGTTTACTAATCATCCCTTCACACTTATCTTCATAAAATTGTTCTACAATCCATTTGGTACTTAAATTTTCACCATCAATAGTTTCAATCATGGTTTGTCCATCTTTTGTTTCACCATTACTCATAACAATAGTGGCACACATGTCGTATTTTTCTAAATCTGGATTAGTAGTGAACGATATTACGATTTCTTCCGTTTCTGATTTGGTTTTATTTATGGCTTCTACAACAATAAAACCGAGTTGTGTAAAAAGTTCCTTAATATTCTCGTGATCTACGTTATCCTCGTTTTCTGCCTTTCCACCCATTTTAAAATTAATATTGTTAATTAATAGTAACATTCCACGATTATTTGGGGATTGTGTGTTATAAGTTGGACCTTTTGTGTTTAAGCCATAATACAATCCCGTCTTTTTAACTTTTATTTTTAATACGTTCTCCAGCTGTGCTTTGTACGGTAAAAAATTTCCTGATTCTTTATCGTTATTAATATCCATTCGCCTTGCATCTTCCAACTCGTGTATTTTGATTGAAAAATTGCTATTAAGGAAGGACACAAAAGAAGCGTAATACAAAAATGTTAAGATTAATCACTTTATAACTTACTTATCATGTTCCGATTCTTTTGACATAGTTTGTTTATTAAATTAGAAAATTATGTCGAAATTTTTGAAATAATGAAATAAACTGCACTCAATACAACGGTTTTATTCGAACAAATCCGTTATCATTATCAAGATAATTTTAATAATTCAAGTAAATACAGGATATGACTGATCTATAGTGTTTACCTTTATCTTGGAAAAATAAAAAAAAAGATACGATGTTGGTGATAAATGATTCTATACACAAAAACCAGATGATTCCTTACGTATCAATACCAACTACGTGTATTACGATATCAGAAATTATTTGTATTGCATTATTTGTAATTCTTCAACAATTGGGATTATGTGGCCCACATCATCTTCTTAATTGCGGTGTAAGTGGTTATAGAGTTAGGTTTTCTAAGAAAATTATGCAGATAAATAGTTGTCAAAATAAGTAATTATAGATTTTTAGGACTAAGTAAAAATAAAACAGTACTGTGTTTAAGAAACAATACTTAGACTTAGTAACAACTGCAATGAGGAGAAATCGTTTCACTGAGAGTCAATAACGCTGACATTTCAAAATCTACACGATCTAATAATTGCTTCTGAAAAATGTGTCCAATAGCTTCAGAAAATGTAAGAATGCGGCGGGAAAATGTTAGAAAATATTTCGATTTCCATTGATGTGCAGATCTCAACTGAGCCGCAGAGACATTGACATTACAACGAATGAAATACAGTACGCTTTAATGTAGATGCAGAACGCTAGATCACCAAGTGAAGATGGTATTACTACTGAGATTCTAAAACTAGGAGAAGCGCCTACAACAAAAGCTATGAAAAATCTACAAAACAAATGTCTAAAAAAAATAAATTACCTAAAAGCTAGAAAAACTCTCTACTGACTCTAACATATAAAAGCACCTTGAAATATATGTATATTTCATAATGCCACAATACAAATTAAAATTACAGAAGATTTGACAACAAACAAAATAATTAGTAAACGTGGAGTGAGGCAGGGAGATACAACCTCTCCAAAAATTGTTTACCCTTATCTTCCAGGAAGATTTCAAAAGATTAGATTGTGAAGGAAAAGGTTCAGCATGATTATGAAAGATGTTAAGTGAACTTAAAATAGCATCGAAAGAAATATGTCTCCAGAAAGTATCAGGATAGAAGTTGGAAATGTACACATTGGAAAATGTACAAGAATACATATACTTGGGTTATACATTACAATTAGGCATAGAGAACCAGACGGCTGAAATAACTAGAAGATTCATAATTACAATCCCAAAAACACCAATAAACCTGAAAAAAAGGGAATTAATATGTATATACTATTAGTATTAACATATGGAATCGATATAATGTCATTAGTAATTGTAAAATCAGTAACAAGATTAAAAACAACACAAAAAGCAATAAAACGTACTATACTGCGAATAAACCTAAGCTATAGAGTAACAAGCGAAGAATCAGAAGAAGAATAAAAGTAGAAGATGTGATAGAAAGAACTGCGAAGTGAAGATGGGTGGGCTATATAGCAAGGCAGTGATTGAAACGGATTTTAACATGGAGACCGAGAATGTACAAGTGGCGCATACGAATTGGGTTGATGATGTTGTGGAGAAAGCTGAGAAAAATTGGCTACAACCAGCACAAAACCGAAACGAGTGGAAAATAAACGAGGACGCATAAAAGAACACTGCTGTGCTTAACTTTTTAAATTCTTGTCTACCATGGAAATTGATGGTAGAATCTGCAAAGTCCTGCCAATTAATTGAAGATTTCTTTGCTAGAAGAAGTAAAAGAATCACACAAAAATTCGAATCGGCCAACGGGACAAAATGAAAAGAGATCTATACCCTCAATATTTCATTCGGGATATGTCACATGTCAAGGGTACTAATGTTAGTGCTGCTAAGGATATATTTTATTAAGAACACAACTTGAAAACTAAAGCGAAATAATGGAGCAAAGATTAGCGGTAATTTTACTGTAGTTGCTGATAGAGCATTTTCTCAAGAAAATGTAAAAAAAATAGCATTGAACTCATAACTTACGCAATTAGCCGGCCATACACAGACGTTCTTTCGTTTCAAAATCGTGGCGTGTTCAGATGTGGCGGTTGGTATGCGAGAAAGAACGGTATGACAGAAAAAGCGTCATGTTCCATACACTTGGTAAAGTATTCAAACGATTTAGCATGTGATTGCGCTTGGTACAACAGTTTCAAGGAAAAAATCGTATGTGTAGCCCAAAAATTTAAATTTATCGTGTCATTTGAATCGGCATGTAGAAATTTTCAACGTGATTTTCGTTACCGACGTTGCGTTTTCAAGTCGTTTGTTGACTGATGAGTGATGGATAAAAAGAGAAAAATTTGTATTGTTGCATGTGCGGTTATGGCCATGAAAATCTCTAAAGACAAAAAGAAAAAACGATATATGGCAGAAAAGTTGGCTGACTGACAGAAAAAATATTGTCACATGTCGCTTTTACGAGATTTGAAACGTAATAATCCAGCCAGATGACTATGACCTTATCTCACTAAACAAGATTTCATTGCTTACACCTGTTTCCTTTTTCTTTATAGGAACAGCATGTGGATATCCTTCTTCGACACAAGTTTTGCTGTTTTGTATATCAATGTTGTCAACGGTCTCAGCAGCGGAAATCTCTTCTGGAGACGAGGGACTGTTCGCCATACTATCAAAACTCTCTGTAGGTGTTTCATGTTCTCGGGTAAACATCACTAAATCCGTATTGATCATCACTAGACGCGCCACTTCTCTTAAATTTTTCAAATTTTTTCAGCTCTTTTCGTAACGAGCTTCTCATCGATTGGATTTGCTCTTGATCAGTTTTTTTTTAGTTTCTATTAGTGATGGACGGATTGTGATTTTGCGAAAAGCCGGATACCGGATATTCAGCATGCCCTTCGGCCGGATATGCGGTTATCCGGCGTATCTCTCCGGCCATTATGGTTCTAATTTCTGGTGCATTTCTGAACTGATACCCTACATTACCACATTATTGCGATATTACAATAAAAATGAAATTAATAAGAAAGCTGACAAGATATGTCAACTTATTTGGATCCAAGATACAAAATGAACTTTTTTGATGCTGATTTAACTAACGAAGCAACTCTAAAAAGAGAATACTTTAATTAATAATTGGAGATATTTCCTTCAAAAAATGAATTTTATAGCGAATTTTGAAAGTTAACGATGAAAATTGCAACATTGAAAATTTTATCAAAACTTCAAATATTGTTTTCTCAAAAACTAAAAATAATTTTCAAAACGGGTTTGTTCATTGGAAAGAAGACACTCTTATTAACACTTTGGGATATTTTCAAATTCATATTCCAAGAAATGGATTTTATACGAATTTTTAAAACTTAATCGGCGAAAATTGCAAAATTCGAAAAAATTTTCGATTGTTTAAAAAATTTATTTCTCAAGAACTAAAAGTGATTTTTCAAAACGGCTTGTTGTATTAAAAAGAGAACACTTTAATTAATAATCGAAAGTGATAACAGCGACAGTTCTGTTAGTAATGAATGTGATGATGAATTACAAGCGAAGGGAAGAAAACTAGACGAAACTGCAACAAGAGATTTTATATATCGTATTGGGATTGTGAGATTGCTAATGACAAACCTGATATAGATAAAGTTGTAATGAATTAAATTAAATTAAATTATTATCTGCAGTGTCCAACACCTAAAAGAGATACTAATTCCTGTGAATGGTGGAGTACTAAGTTATAGATTTCTAATATCCGGACAAAGCTGGATATTTGGTAACTATCCGGTATCCGGATAGTTGCCGGATATCCGTTCCACCATTAGTTTCTATTAACATATTTCTTCGATTTTATCTTCCACAAAGCTGGATGAGACCTATAAATCTTTATAAATTCAGTTAAGAATTTTTTGGTGATATGTCGAATATCGGCCATGTCGAAGATTTTAAAGTAGGTACCTACTATTTAACCAAGAAAGGGTTGCGTTGGGTTGGATTGGGAACACAAAAAGAAGAACGCCAATACTTAGTAATGTTGCTTACCTGATGCACAAAGAAAATAAAGGGATGAATCCCTTTCCAAAAGAGACTAAAGTTTAAAAATAATAGGCAAATTAAATGAGAATCAAATAACTGAAGAATACAAAGAATATGATGAAAACATAACTACAATTAATACTAATAGTAAAGAAGACGACGAATTTATTTTAATACACATAGAAACTGCATTTTATGTTGTCCGCACAATCCATGGTTTATTATGACATGGAAGCACAACGAACGGATAAACTCATCAAACACCGCGATCAAGATTAAATTCGAATTTGGTTGAACCAAAATTTAAAAAGTTATCAACACATTATTTAATTTATCTATAATAGACACTTGATGTTATATCAAGTATTCGAAGTCTGTTCAATTTTCTGTCAAGAGAATTTGACAAACAATGTGAAATTCTCAATAAACTTCCTAAAATAATTAGAAAGACCCAGATTTTTACAACTTGATATTGTTGGATCATTTCTAATTTCTCACTATCGTTTATTTATTTCAATGCTAATAGAAGGTATCAAAAAACCAAGGTATTTAATTTTTTTCTTGTATAAATGTTTTTGGTCAACTTCAATTTGTCTTATTTAAAACGGTCAAAAATTATATCAGCGAATATTTTTCATTTTTGTGTTACAAATTTTCTGCTTCTTAATCATACCCATTACTTAACTCAAAAAGAATTCATATAAAATGATTACAAAAGTATTACATTTAAAATATTGTAATAGATACATAGATATCGAAGTTATACAATCTTCTTGACGTCACAGAATATTTTTTGCCTTCATATCTGTATTATTATCGCTTTCAGTTCATCGCTACTGCAATGTGTAAATCGTTTTATTTATTCAAGAATTTTAAGTACAAAGAAATCGACACATTTTCCGTCTATAATTTTTTTACAACGGCACTAAACAGGTACTAAAACACCATAAAAACAAGCGTTTTGTTTTAACTATTAATAATCAAGAACAATTGTTTCTTTTTATTAATATAAACACGTGATATCGATGGTATGTTAGCGGCGGCGTTATTACTTAAGCTGTGAGTATAAAGGATTCAATTAAACTAAGTTTGATTTCAGTTTCGAATTAAAGAGCAACCTAGTCAGTTTAAATATTTCTTTTTTTTTAGTTAATAAATGTTTTAAATAATTCATGATGGCTTCTTTAAGTGAAAAATTTTCGAAAAATAACATTTTAGCAAAATGGGAAAAGAATTCCGATATTTTAGTATTGACTTTTTTGGCTTTGTGTTGTTGGGCCATTGGATATTCTTTATTTGGCGAAGTTTTTGGAGTTCAAAGTCAAATTTTCCAGTTAGCTGTAAGTTAATTAATTAATATATTTTATTAAACTTATTTTTAACGATTTTTAAGTCGATTCTTAAGCAAACAAAACTTTGCAAAGTCATCAATATGAATTTTTTCATAAATTTTAATGTTAATATACCCTTAATAATACAAATTCTCCGTTGGTATACAAAATTAATTTTTAATTATAATTCCATTACACACAATCTTGTTCTGTAGTTACTTTATCTTTCTTAACATATCTAGTTTTAACAAGTTCTTATTTATGTCTACAAGTTATCCTAATTGTTAAATTTTTTTGGTGTTAGTAAAGCACCTCTTTCTTCTACAACTATGTATATTTAACAACTTACAAGTTATGAACTTAACCACAACTTATTATCTGTATATTCTAGTTCTGCTATATAATCTAATATACGTACTTTTCTAATACGTATATTTAACCTTTCAACTACTTCAATAAAAATATACAACAATCTAGCGCTTAGTCTAGCGCTGCATAACAATTCAAACTAGAACTAACACTAGACCTAGAACTAAAATCATTCGGGTTTAGCTGATTAAGAGACGTGCAGCTAAATCCGAATGTTTATAGTTCTAGGTCTAGTGTTAGTTCTAGTTTTACACTAGCACAGTTATTATGTAGAACTAACACTATATCTAGAACTAGAATCATTTGGGTTTAGCCGCACGTCTCTAAAGACGGCTAAACCCGAATGATTCTAGTTCAAGGTATAGTGTTAGTTCTAGTTTTACACATGCACTGTCACTAGAACTAACATTAGACCAAGAACTAGAAACATTTGGGTTTAGCCATACGTCTCTTAAGACGGCTAACCCCGAATAATTCTAATTTTAGGGCTAGCATTGCATAACAATTAAAACTAGCACTGTTATTATGTAGAACTAATACTATACCTAGAACTAGAATCATTTGGGTTTAGCCGCACGTCACTAAAGACGGCTAAACCCGAATGATTCTAGTTTAAGGTATAGTGTTAGTTCCAGTTTTACACATGCATTGTCACTAGAACTAACATTAGACCAAGAACTAGAAACATTTGGATTTAGCCATACGTCTCTTAAGACGGCTAAACCCGAATGATTCTAGTTTTAAGTCTAGCATTACATAACAATTAAAACTAGCACTGTTATTATGTAGACCTAACACTATACCTAAAACTAGAATTATTTGGGTTTAGCCACACGTCACTAAAGACGGCTAAACCCAAATGATTCTAGTTTAAGGTATAGTGTTAGTTCCAGTTTTACACATGCACTGTCACTAGAACTAACATTAGACCAAGAACTAGAAACATTTGGATTTAGCCATACGTCTCTTAAGACGGCTAAAACCGAATGATTCTAGTTTTAGGTCTAGCATTACATAACAATTAAAACTAGCACTGTTATTATGTAGACCTAACACTATACCTAAAACTAGAATCATTTGGGTTTAGCCACACGTCTGTAAGGACGGCTAAACCCGAATAATAATAATAAATGCCTTTATTAGTAAGTCGCAAAAAAGGAAAAGAAATAATAATACATTCTTAGAAAATAGACTTATTTTCTGGACGAAGTTCCGTTTGGCTATTAACCAACTGCTCTTCCACTTAATCCAGAATATATAGAAAATATATACAGTGCTAGCGTAAAGTAACCCCCCCCCCCCTTCTTAACCTCCAAACAGATTGAGATATCAATATGAACAAAAAAACGTCAGTTTTTATATTTTATCAGCACAAATATTTTCTTACGGAAAATTTTGCTATCACTTTTAGTTTTTCCGGAAAATGGATCAACTTCGTTTTTTTTAATGGAACACCTAGTATATAATGGTATCTTCAGAAAGATGAAAACGATACGAATCCAACGGTACCTCACAATCAAATATCGATTTATTAGTTTTACGAATAAAAATTAAACAAAATGCGGAATTTCGCCGGAAAACCAACGTATCTTCGTCGACTACCTGTCGAAATGCAATCGACCAGGTAAATGGTGGACGGTAGGTTAATGGTCGGTATACGCTCGAGCTAAGACGGATTTAAAATTGCTAGTTCAATTACTTATCTTTTTTAGAAATAAAATAAACGTTGGGTGGAAGTACCTATATTAAATTTATGAATTAATCATATTTAATCAAAAAGTATTTATAAAGAAAAAATCAAAGTAAATATAAGAAATGATAAGATAAAAAAAAATTTATCAAAGATTTTGCTAGTATACATAACGGTTGAAAAATTGGCTTAGTGTTGTTATTGAATATGTTATTTATTAAGAACAAACTATTAAATAAATTGTTCGATATGATTACCCTGAACTTCTTGGCAGTGGTACCATCTTTGCAGTGTTTCCTCTCTCACACGGCTTAACATGTGATGATCAATATTTTGGCAGACGTCAATAATTTTTTGTTTTAAATCCTCAATACTGTCTAGCGGACTTTCATATACCTTGGATTTTAAATAACCCCATAAAAAGAAATCTAAAGGTGTCAGATCTGCTGATCTTGTTGGCCATTCAATCGGCCCACGTCGACCGATCCACCGTCCATTAAAATTTGTATCAAAATAATTTCGTACCATTGCCGCATAATGTGGAGGTGCTCCGTCTTGATGAAACAGTAACTCCATTTCAAAATCGTCAGGATTCTGTTGCACAATTTGCAAAAGTCGTGGATTAATATCTTCTTCTAATAATCTTAAATACAATGTTACGGTCAAATTTTCGGTTAGGAATATTGGTCCCACGATGTGATTTCCTAATATGCCTGCCCAAACATTTATTTTCTTGGGAAATGGAGTGTTAACTTCGCGATATTCATGTAGATTAACATCACTCCAGTAACGTACATTTTGCCGATGCAATTTTCCATCCAAAAAGAAAGTACATTCATCACTGAAACAAATATGTTTCAAGTATGATGGATTTCGTTCAACCATATTTGTCATTAGCTTACAAAATTCTGTTCTTCTATCAGGGTCATCTTCTGTTAATTCATGAAGCATTTTAATTTTATATGGATGATATTTATTCTTCTTTAAATATTTCCGTGCCGTTGTTGGACTCACATCACACGTTGATGCGATAGCAGCAGACGACATCATGTTCGCATTAACTACTTCTGTTAATATCTGCACTTGTGTGTCTTCAGAAATCGAACGACGACCAGTTCTTTTGCGGTCTTCGACGCTTCCAGTTTCCAAAAACTTATTTACAAGTTCTCTTAAATATTTTCGACTAATTGGATGTTCAGGAAATCGTTCATTAAATTGTCGCTCTGTTTCATGTACATTTCTGTCAGCACGAGCGAATATTAAAATTCCTCCGATTTTGTGCTCTAAACTCCTTCTAGCCATTTTGATCTCGCCTTTCTTTGGTTATACTTGGTCGGGTAGAATTCCAAGATAGAAATGAAGGACAATATTTGCATGCTGCCTTAAATACAAAATTTCAAGGTACCTACAAACTTTAAAATTGTTGTTATGACAATTTTTTCTTAGAAGTTTTAAGAAGAACTTTCTTTTTATCCTTTTCTTGCATTGATTGTTTCATAAAAACATTCTAAAAGAATTGCCGATTTTAACCCTGCTTAACCCGAGCGTAGACCGACCTTTAACTGACCGTCCACCATTTATCTGGCCCATTGTATCTCGACAGGTAGTCAACGAAGATGCGTTGGTTTTTCCGGCGAAATTTCGCATTTTGTTTAATATTTATGTAAAAAACTAATAAACCGATATTTGATTGTGGGGTATCGTTGGATTCGTATTGTTTTATTCTTTCGGAAGGTACCATAATATACTGGGTGTTCCATTTAAAAAAACAAAGTTGATCCACTTTCCGGAAAAACTAAAAGTGACAGCAAAATTTTCCATAAGAAAATATTTGTGCTGATAAAGTATAGAAATTGACGTGTTTTTGTTCATATTGATATCTCAATCCGTTCAGAAGTTAAAAGGGGGGGGGGTTACTATATATAGTATAAATAGTATAAATAAGCGATGCATTAGTAGCTCAGAATATAAAAAAAAATCATGATGATTCAAGCAGGAGGGAAGATTTTAACTTACTCTTGAACGAAATACAGCTCAATCCCATAAGGTTTACTGATAGATCATTGTACGTTTTGGCTATCTGGTAGGAAAACGATCGGTGCGAGGCGTGGCGTGGTATCGTCTATACATCTTTCCTTCTTACATTAATATTATGGACATCGCTTCTGAAATATAAGTGTTGCAGCAAGTAAGGAGGCCGTTGACTATTAATAATTTTAAAATAAACGCAAGTTGCATGCAGTTTACGTCTGTTCTTCATGTTTAACCATCCAGTCTCTGCCAACTTATGACTAATATGGTCATATTTACGAATTCCGTAAATAAACCTCAGACAACCGTTCTGGAGGTTCTGGATACGACGCCTGTTAAATTTGGACCATAAACAACGTCGCAGTGATTTAATTTGCTTAGAACCAAGCTATCACACAGCATAATTTTTAATTTTTTTTTATCCCTATGGGCATACAAGAGATGGAGGGCGTCATACCCACCCTTCAAGCACCTGGCCACATTGTCTTCAAATCTCAACTGATGATCCAATGTAACTCCTAAAATTTCGCCATCCACCATCAATTGACCGGATATCAAAGGTTTAATTGCTCTCCTTGTGACACTGCCGCAAAACAGAAGAATAGAAGACTTAGATGGATTAAGCATAAGCTCATGGCGTTTCGCAACATCAGAAAATAATGCTATATCTGAGTTAAATTTTATGCAGGCATCATGCCAATTATTTGTATTAAAATTCAGCAGAAGCTGTGTATCATCTGCATACAAGTGAATCTGCGAATGCTCAAGAACTTGGTTAAAATCAGATGTATAAGTAGAGAACAGTAGTGGCCCCAAAATGGACCCCTGAGGAACTCCACGAGTAACAGACAGAGCGCTCGATATTTGACTATTAATGTTCACAACCTGAGACCTATCCCACAAAAATGACTTTATCAAAGTTACAGCCTGATTATCAAGATCAAAATAATGAAGTTTAGATGCAAGTATATTATGATTTATTGTATCAAATGCTTTGGTGAAGTCCAACGATAACAAAAATGCAGCTTGCCCTCTAGAGGCAAATACCTAATCAGTAAGGTTCAATAAAGCTGTTGCGCAGCTGAAACCCGAACGAACCCCAGATTGTTGCTTTGGCAGTATATTATAACTTTCGCAGTGTGCTCTAAATTGTCTTTCCAACACTCTCACTAAAATTTTTGACATTACTGGTAGGATACTGATCGGTCTAAAATCCCTTAGGGCAGAAGGGGAAGATACTTTAGGTAACGCAATTATTTCAGCCATCTTCCAGACATCCGAAAAAACTGATTGATGAATAGTAGCGTTTATTACGTGAGTAATATAAGGAATGAGAAAAGGGGTACACAAGTCAATCATCCAGACTGAGATACCAACAGAACCCATCGCTGCAGTTTTAATGTCATTAATTATTATAGATACTTCATGTTCATCAACGAGCATAAAAGCTTGCATTATCTGCACTCTAGGGTTTACATTATTTTGATAAAATATGGGTAATTCGGGATCAGTCTGGATATAAAGTGAAGAATCACCGTGAACAAAATAATTATTTAAATCGTTTGGAAGAAAAATGTTAGACACTTTGTTATCGATTTTTTTATTTATATTTAAAAGTTCAATCTTTCTCTAAAGAGCTTTTAGATTGTTACTACGAAAGGCGTAATCATAGTATCCCTTCTTTTCAGTCCGCACCGTTGATGTTATCAAATTGCGATGCAACTTGTATGGAACCCAGTCTTGAGTTAGCTTAGACTTTTTGAATTTTTTAAGCGGATCATCTCGAATAGACATTAGTAGTTTTAGTAGTAGCTTTATAAGCCGTCTAGTTTTTAAAGTGATTTTATCATTCACATTTTCCAGATTATATATGTTTCTCCACGGAATTGATTTTAAATCGTTCAAGAATTGTGGAAAATTTATGTTTTTCACATCCCTGTATGCACGATAAATTGCAGCAGGCCTACCGGTATTAAATGCCAGCTCACACTTTACTAGTTCATATTGGGTACATTTACAACATCGATACTAGTAAACAGCTGATCATTTGTTGTAAAAACTGGATCAAGTAAAGTTTGCGGATTTTGTGTAATTCTTGTGGGTTCGGTGACTAACTGATGCAAGCCAATAGAAGTCGCAAATGAGTGAAGAAGTGTTGTTGAGGGAGAATCAGGTTTAAGAAGTTCAACATTAATATCGCCCACGATAATTCTCGAATGAGATGTGACAATACTCTCACAAAGGGTACTCTCCAGTGTTTCAATAAAAAGAAGAAAATTAAAATTAGGGGGCCCTATAAACCACTCCAAAAATAATACAGAATTTTTTGCCTGCATCAACGGTAAAAATAGTTGCTCAATAGAGCAGGAACTGTTTAGAAGCTGAAATCGTACTGAGCTTCTTATGTACACAGTCACACCTCCACCGCGCCCCTCACGATCCCTACGAACCAGATTGTAGCCAGGAATATTAAATAAAGAGTTGGATATATTAAGAGTTAACCAGGTTTCCGTCATCGCAAAAATATCAATAATGTTATCAAGGATTAAAGATTTTATTAGATTATACTGGGAAACTAATGATTTAACGTTCAAATGAGCTACGTTCAACATCATGTTATAAATTGAAACTTGAATCTCCCTCGAACCAGATCCATCGAACATTTCAGCAAAAAAAGAAAAAAACTGCTCAATAAGTACCAATTGATTATCAGCAATGCTAAGGTAAAGAAAGCTAAATAACGCAGGAATAACAAAAATAAGCGTTACAGAAAAAAAAGTGCTTGAAACCGAAGCGACTTACTAAAAAAAAGAAGGTTTTTGAAAATAATGCTTTAAAAAATCAAAAAAAAATAACAATGATAATTTATGGTTTGTTAAGTTGCCGACGAGTTCTTCTCTCGTAACGATTGTCTTCCGTCTTAGCTGATTCCACAGAGCTCTAATGAATAATTCTAGTTCTAGGTATAGTGTTAGTTTTAGTTTTACTCATGCACTATCACTAGGACTAACATAGACCAAGAACTAGAAACATTTGGGTTTAGCCATACGTTTCTTAAGACTGATAAACCCGAATGATTCTAGTTTTAGGTCTAGCATTGCATAACAAATAAAACTAGCACTGTTATTATGTAGAACTAATACTATACCTAGAACTAGAATCATTTGGGTTCAGCCGCACATCTCTAAAGACGGCTAAACCCGAAAGATTCTAGTTCTAGGTATAGTGTTAGTTCCAGTTTTACACATGCACTGTCACTAGCACTAACATTAGACCTAGAACTAGAAACATTTGGGTTTAGCCATACGTCTATAAAGGCGGCTAAACCCGAATGATTCTACTTCTTGGTCTACAGCTGCATAACAATTAAAACTAAAACTAACACTAGACCTAGAACTAGAAAATTTCCGGTTTAGCCGAGCGTCTTCAAACAAGTGCCAGAAACACTTCGAACCAGTTTCTGAAGAAGGTTGCAACATGGCATCCGAAACGTCAACCCATTTTTTAAAAGACGCACGGCAAAACCAATTTTTTTAGAAAATAAATTCTAAAATAAATGCAATTTTTAGATATTATTCATAACTGCAAAAATAACTGGATGGCTAACAAGTTTAATAAAACTTCCTCCTATGGTTGGAATGCTACTGATGGGAGTTCTTTTAAGAAACGTTGGTTTTTTACAAATCGAAGGTAATTACAGAAAATTCACAGCAATTCTTCGGTAAGTTTTTAAAAATTCTTATTAAAAAATTATTAAAATTCCCTAATTCTTTTTTTAGTCAACTCGCCCTTGTGAATATAATGTTACCGGCTGGATTAGGTTTAGATCCAAAAGCCTTAAAGAAAATGTCTTGGATGGTTCTAAACTTAGCCTTCGTTCCTGTTGCTGTTGAAGTGGCTGGAGTAGCCGTCGCGGCTTACTTCTTATTAGATTTTCCGTGGTTATGGGGAATCCTTCTTGGGTAGGGATTTATATCGCGTTTTAAGAATGTTCAATTTGGTGTTGAAAAGATTTGTAACGTTGCTTCAAGGTTACTTTTGGCTGCCGTTTCACCAGCCGTCATAATCCCTTGTCTTTTTCAACTACAAGATATGGGTTATGGAATTAATAAAGGCATCCATACTTTAGTCATTGCGGCATCAACTTTAAACGACATCATTTGTATTGCATTTTTTGGAATTGTCATTGGAATAATTTTTAGTACCGGTAAAAACTTTCACAACATTTTATTAGGTTTCATACTTAATTTGTATTAATTTTAGGTTCTTTAACCATGCAAATTTTACAAGGACCTATTGCAATTGCAATGGGTGTAAGTTATGGAATTGCCTGGGGGTTATTATGTCAATACATTCCAAGTATAAAAGAGAAATATCTAGTAACGTTAAGAACGTTACTGTTGGGTTTGGGTTGTGTTGTTTGTGCGTTAGGAAGTGACGCTTTGGGTTATGGAGGTGCTGGGGCTTTGGGTTGTATTATAGCTGCTTTTGTGGCTAGTATTGGATGGAGAAAGCAAGGATGGGACAACCAGGTAAGCTTAAAATAACCATGACATCAAAAGTATTACTACGTAAAATATGTATAAAATTTCGATAACTTATTCATTGTTTAATAATTAGTAGATTTAAACAAATTAAGAACTAAAAACTATGAGAAGTTTAGTGTATAACACTCAAATTCCTCAACGAGGAGTATCACTTACAATGGAGAGTTTTATGGCAATTGATTATCACTTGAAAAGGCCTATACTAAGTTACGGACGGATCTTTCGCTTGAAGTGTTGAGTGAGTGTTTTGCAAGTCTAGTATACGAGATTGACCTGGTTGCTCTCCATTTTCACCGCATTCGCAAAAAGGTGTCAATGTCTGGTCCCCTTTTTGCAGAAAGAGTTGTCCAGGTTTTGCGTGGTAAATCAAAACCAGGAGGCTTTTGGATAATACATGTTAGCGTTGAGGTAACGTTACTAAAGAAAACGACTTTTAGCTCTTGTCAAAAACGATATTCGACTGCCTTATACAAAATACACTGAACAACTAACTCACTTCAGGTAAATTTTATCGTAAGTAAACCGGAGAGTTATACAAAAAGTAATTCTTAGTCACTCCCGAACAAAGAGCACCTCCGACCGTCTTGGGTAAATACCGACAGTAACACGGACGCACATCCTGATGGTGTGCGTCCTCGCATACTGCTCTTATAATAAACTACTTACTCGTAAAAACAGCGTTTTCGACTTGTCTCTTAATTACGGACATAATAACTAAGAATACGACTATCATCCAGTAAAGGTTTAATTAATAACTATCAAAAAAATACAGGGTGTATCTGAATGACGTGCCCAAACTTCAGGGGGTGATTCTTTAGGCAATTTTAAGGGTACTTTCTCATATGAACTATCAGCGATTTCGACTACCCTGCGGAGCTACGCCCCTTCAAAAATGGCGAAAAATTTTGGTTTATTTTATTTTTCCCGAAAACCATTAACACCAAGAAAATGAAATTTGGGAAATATGTTTAGCTTATAATAGGGCATGTTTCGAGCCTATTTGTACTTTCAATCTTCCCTTCTAAGTTACTAAACATAACCACCCCCGTTCAATTTTTGTCTAGATCTTTTTTATGACGATGATAAATACATTGGAAATATTTTATTTAGATAGACGAAAATATTCTAAAACTTTTTTGCCTCTCTGATGTTCTTCGAAAAGTTAATAGTTTCTGAGAAAAAAATTAATTAAGCAAACACTAACTGTTAAGCTGTAGCGTTGTTAATCGAAAGTTGGAATGAATTTTTAAAGAAAAAATCTTAGCAGGCTTAGCAATCTTTGTCAGAAATATTTTTGACGTTTAAATGTCAGTGGTTTTCTTACTATTATTATTGTTTTATTTAAAATTTTGAAACGTCGAGTGAACGAGCGTAAATGCGGTAGAACTTTATTCATAAATTAATTTGAAAAACAATAATAATAGTAAGAAAACCACTGACATTTAAACGTCAAAAATATTTCTGACAAAGATTGCAAAGCCTACTAAGATTTTTTCGTTAAAAATTCATTCCAACTTTTGATCGACAACCCCGTTGTTGAACGGGCAGTGTTTGCTTTATTATTTTTTTTCTCAAAAATTAGTCGTTTTTGGAAAAATTTTAGAGAGACAAAAAAGTTTTAGGATACTTTCATCTACCTATGTAATTTTTTTTAATGTATTTACCCTCTGTTTAAAAATTTATTATGAGTTAAACATATTCCCCAAATTTCATTTTCCTAGCGTTTTTGGTTTTAGAGAAAAAGAAATTAAACAAAATTTTCCGCCATTTTTGGAGGGGTGTAGCTCCTTAGGGGAGCCCAAGTCACCCATGGTTTATATATCAAAGTACCCTTAAAATTGCCTAAAGAATTACCCCTGAAGTTTGGGCATGTCATTCAGATACACCCTGTATAACTAACAACCAGTGAGGTTCAATTAACAACTATCAAAAATGTAATTAACAACCAGTTAAGGTTCAAATTAAATCGAACTTTTTGCTAGTAGCACATGCTCTACATTTTCTGATGTACTTTGTGTCGCTACCTCTTTACCAGCTCTACATTGATCTCTTTTATGGCCAGTCTTTCCGCTGTTGAAACATTTGCCTTGGAATTTATCTTTCGTTTCAAAGTGGTGGAAACGCTTGGGTGCCCTGTTACATTCATAATGCTCTAGATTTTGTTTTGTACCTCGAGTAGATTCCAGTTGACGTTGAACAAGAAGGAGACAACTTTCTATCTTTCATAATAACTGAGATACCCTGTAAACCCATCGAAATTTGGACACCTGTACTGCATTCAGCATATCGCCCGACGAATCTACAGACATTCAAGATATTCCAGAATTAGCGATTTTCGTCCGCTATGTTTCTGAAGAAGTACATATAAAAGAGGAATGCAATCTTGTAACTCTTACAATTAGAGGAACAACTCGCGGCATCGATAAACTATTGATAAACTTGTAAGCCTTGCGACTGACGGAGCTCCTGCAATGTTAGGACAAAACCAAGGACTTATTGGTCTTTTGAAAAGTGATTTAGATAATTGAGATTCTTCATTCATCGTAGAGATGTAAATTAAAAATCGAAAGGTGATACGATGAAAACTTTGCACCGATTTGCCAAGTTTTTTAAATAAACTATTTTTCATCGTAACACCTTTTGATTTTTAATTTTGAAAAGTTATCCAAAAATTCCTAACTTTGTACCAGTTCATTTTATAATTCATCGCGAACATGTTATAAGTGTAAATATAAGTATAAATTTGAAAACGTGTGGATTGTTTTGAAAATAATAAACTTTATTCGTGTAAATGCAAAAACTCATCGTCAGTTCAGGAATTTTTTAGAAGAACTGAAACAGGAAGGAGATGAATGTGCGAATGATATATCATTTCACTGTACCTATTATAGGTATATACTCACTTCCATTTGCATATTTTTCAAAGAACAAGGAAGGCTATGTCTAAAACTGGAAGATGAAAACTGGCCTCAAGATTTAATGTTTCTGACTCACACCATGTAGCACTTACAAACTCTCAATTTAGCTTTGCAAGGAAAAGAAAAAACTATAAGTGATTTGTCTCAAACTGTATTTAAATTTCAATCAAAATTTTAGCTTTTTTAAAATGATCTGATGTCAACAACATTAAACATTTTCCTCGATTAAAAGCAAGGTTTTCTAATATTACGGAAATGGATATCAAGAAAAAACTGAAGAGTTGAAAACGAATTTTAAAACCAGATTTGAAGATCTGAGAAATTTCGAATCAACAATTTCCTTTTGTGTCAATCCATTTGCAATTGATATAATTTAAGATGGTTTTTTAATTTCTGATATATTACTATCTGACATAGCATCGGGAGAACTAGAAGTACTAGAAATGAAGAAGGATCAGGCATTACAAATCTCTTTCCCTGACCAACTTTTGGAAACTGGTGCCAGAAACAAAATATCCTAATTTAAAGAAAGCAGCTTGTCGACTATATTCAATTTTTGGTACAACATATTCTTTTGGAACTTTATACTCACACATGAACTTAGTTAAGACAAAATATCGCCCACCATTAACTAATCAACATCTAAAAGAATTCTTGCAAACGGCCTTGACAAATTATGCGCTGGATTTTAAAAAATTATTAAAGGAAAATCGGCTGACTTTATAATTATTAAATATTTTGTTTTTTGTTAGCAGTTTTCCTATAATCTTTAACTTTTCAATAAATATTCCCATAACTATCGAATCCAAATTTATTAGATATATGACATTATATATGGCTTGCAAAAGAAATATTAAACCTGCATAAGGCTCCTGTTGATCTCACCTCTGAGTTCAGCTCAGAGATCATATCTTCGAGTTCAGCTACATTTTTAGCGTTCACAATCATGATTAAACCGTCTGAATACGCCATTTCATGAACTCAAAAAACTATAAACGTTATAGGTCAGTCTACAATTAATAATCCTTCTACCATAAAAGATCTTTTATGGTCTAAGAATTCTATATATA